TTATCATAGAATTTAGTTATCAAAATTAAGAGAAACAATTAATCTCTTGAAAATACAAATTAAGTAATAATACTTCCGATTTCTTTGAGGGTAATTATTTTTACAAAATTTTAATAATAAATATGCAGCGAACAACAACAGCAGAACATAGCGAAATCAGTAGCAGGCAATAACAACTTTGAAGAAAGCTACACAGTATGCACTCAGAAGTCAGTTATCCCGTTATATAAAATCCGTATAAAAGGAGAAGCAAAGTAAAACACAGCGACTTGGTCACAGCACTTCGAACAGTGCACATCACCAGAGGGACTTGGCCACAGCACTTCGAACAGTGCACATCACCAGAGACTCTATGGCAGGCCACGAAGCAGAACACTTGACAGAGCCAGATCAAGTGTATAAACAGGTAATTAAAAATATTTAAATAACATTTTCCTAGTCCATCAGTGTAGCCCTATCGGTAACACTGTTCCTAAGCAACGCAGCCTTGTCGGTAGCGTTGGTTCCAAGCTCATCAGTGTAGCCCTATCGGTAACACTGCTCCTAAGCAACGCAGCCTTGTCGGTAGCGTTGGTTCCAAGCTCATCAGTGTAGCCCTATCGGTAACACTGCTCCTAAGCAACGCAGCCTTGTCGGTAGCGTTGGTTCCAAGCTCATCAGTGTAGCCCTATCGGTAACACTGCTCCTAAGCAACGCAGCCTTGTCGGTAGCGTTGGTTCCAAGTTCATCAGTGTAGCCCTATCGGTAACACTGTTCCTAAGCAACGCAGCCTTGTCGGTAGCGTTGGTTCCAAGTTCATCAGTGTAGCCTATCGGTAACACTGCTCCTAAGCAACGCAGCCTTGTCGGTAGCGTTGGTTCCAAGCTCATCAGTGTAGCCCTATCGATAACACTGTTCCTAAGCAACACAGCCTTGTCGGTAGTGTTGGTTCCAAATCCACCATTAATTAAAAATTCTTATTATAATTCTTAATATGTATTATATATTTATTAGCAAATAAGTTATAAATATTGTAAAATAAATTCCGAAAACTAATAAAGAAATTAAAAAAAAATTTAAGTGGCTTGAAAATTATTATACGAACGATTCAGGGTTACAGAGAAAAAATATTCTTGTAACGACTCTGGGATCCGGCGAGAAAAACCCCGGCATAAGTAAAAAAGGTTCTTTACAAATTTTAACATAATTTATTACAGTAAATTATTAAAAATCGTAATACTCGTTAAAACACAATAAGAATTGCATTGCATTTACAACAATTATCAAAAAACATAATATATGTCATACATAATAACAAATTACAATTAATAAAATAATTACCATTTACTGCAATCAATAACATACTAACATAATTATTACAATAAATAATGTTTAACAACATAATTTTTATTTATTATAATAATTCGCATTTATGAATTATATGACATTCATTAAGATATATATTTATATATTATTACATTACATTATTATTATTATTGTTTGAATTACTCACAGTCAGGTGACTGGTATTAACGTATTTCGAGTCATTGACCAAAGGGTATACGCTCTGTTGGAGTGTAATCCAAGTTTTACACGCTTAGCCGATTATTTCCCTCATTATGTTCCGTTTTTTGCATTTGGGGTATGATTAATGGTTTTAAATTTAAATGTGTAATTGAAATTATTGTTGTTTACGGGACTAGTCCTGTGGAGCTTATTATTATTGGTAGTATTTTTACTTCATCTACGTCTAGTGAATATTTAATATATTGTGTTAATTGTTGGTATTTACTTACTATTTTATTGTGATATGTGTCTTGAATATTGTTATTAAGGGGAACTGCAAAATCTATTATGTGTGCTGTTTTATTCTGTTTATTTATTATGATCATATCAGGTCTGTTAGGCATTTGTGTGCTTTGTATTGTGTTTGTAAGAATGGACCGGTCCCAGTATATTGTGATTTGATTAGCATTTATCACAGGTTCCGGGTTGTATTTGTAATATGATTTCTCTACATTAGCTATTTTTAGAGTTTGCAGGATATTAATGTACACTATTTTTCCCATATTGTCATGGCGTTGTTTGTATTTTGTACTTGTTAGCATTGAGCAACTATTTATTATGTGCGAAATCGTCTCTGGTGCTTGAGCACATCGCCTACAGCTGTCGTCTGTTAGATTTGGTGTTTTTAATATGTATTTTACATAATTTCTTGTTTTAATTATTCCGTCTTGAATAGCCAGGATATAGCCTTCAGTTCCTGGAAACATTATTCCTATTGTGAGCCATTTATTTGTATATTCCATGTCTATATGTTGTTTTTCCATTTCGTTTGGGTGCTTGCCATGAATAATTTATGACTTCCAGGTTGTAACTAAGCTGTTTATATTAATCAGATTTGGTTAAATGTTATTTTTCAGTTTAAGGGGTGTAAGATTGTCATTTGCTTATATTAAAGATCTATACAGGTTTGATGTTTGGGCTATTTTGTAAAAGTAATTTCTTAAAGTTATTGTTTGCTGTTGGGTGAGCATTTCAATGTTTTTTATTCCTCTGCTTTCAAGTTTTCGGGGTACATTTATTAGCTCTTTTGAGAATTTCGGGTGGTGGTAATTAAATTTAGTTAGTGATGTCCTTACGATCGTGTCCAATTTTTGCATATCAGTGTCCGACCAGTTATTATTATTATTATTATTATTTACTGTATTTACTGTACTTTTTATTATAATAACAAATTTCATTTCATATATTACCATAAATTCTATTGATAACAATAAACAACATTTTTACAAAGGGCATAATACTTTTTTTATTCCACGCTTAATGATGCATGCTTTTTTAGTTTGTAATGTTATTTTGGGTAAATCTATATTGTATAGCTTATTATTAGAAAATGTTTTAACACATTTATATACGCTATCTGGTAATATACGAAGTATTTGATTACATTATTTTATCAGAAGAAAAATTTTCAACAATGATATAAAAAATTAATTATAGAGTTAACCGTTTTATAAATCCCATACAAAAACTACATGAAAATACATCCACACTAAACTTAAATTAAAGGTATTAAAATAAATTTCAATGTAGAATTATACACGTTTATGTCTGCAATGCAATCCCTGCATCTACAAAACTTTTTACAATTATTCTTTCGCATATTTTCCCCCTTTTGAGAATTTGATTGCAGTCCAATTGCCCATTTAAACACTTAAAGTTGACACACCTCACTCAACTGGTAGGAAGACATTTACCTTGTTTGTTCTACCCACAAATGTTGGTAAAAATATTTATTGAGAGTAGGTTTACACGTATGTGAGTACATTTTAATTGTACGAGTATCAACACACAACATCTTTACACTTTTCTGGTACTTTAATACTAATTTGCTCCATTTATTTCAACTTTTTTTATAATTTTGATTTGTGTTGATGTCATCTTTCCACTTGGCTAAATTTTTGATCCAATAAGTGATGGTTTGCGTCTAACAATGGAATTAAAACGGTCAGCTATATTGAAAATCGGCTTTTGAGTATATTTAAATTCACTCCGTATTTTCATATATGTAATAAAAAAATTAAATGTGAAAAGTGCTTAAATAATAATTAAAGAGTTTTTTAAGTGATTAAATATCATTTTGAAAACCTAAACATATCGACATATACTTCAAATAGTAACCATTTAAATAATTTACAAACAAATTTATTATAATTTTTGATTCTTCATGGATTTAACATACCATATTTTAAAAAGATTTTTATTTGCTTAAACTGTCTTATCAAAAAGCCAAAATATATATTTGCGGAAACAAAAACTTCTTAAACAAGGGTGCGTTAGGTTGAACTGGCGGCCTAACATACCAAGGTCTATAAAAAATGAGCACGGAATAAAGTTTGTTATGCTACCACTGTTTAAAACGTTGCTTATACGCTAGACCAACTAAACCACTAATACAAGTATAAGGACCATAACGGTCTGCGCATTGACAATGAGGAAAAAAGCACTTCTCCCCCCTTTTAATCCAAGTGCGCCAACATGATAAGTCACTAAACTTCGTGATGTCGTGAATATTGAACAATCACAGCCTCGTCAGGCCGATAAAGAAAGAAAGCTCCCAGAGATATTTAATCTGCAACTGACCAAAGACGGGCATTGGTACATAAGATAAAACACAGTTTCGTTGTCTTCTGGAAAGCTACTGCTGCGACGAAAGTCGGCAGTAGATGAGTCTCAGTATATGGTTCCGTAGTGACCCATCAGCCACTGCATTCCCATTGTGCTGAATAGTTTCCAATTTTGTTAAAGCAGATCCCTGATTTGTTGCCTGACAAGAATTTTTATCGTATTTTTAACTATCAATTAATATTTTTCTTGATGACTCAACCGTTGCAAGTAACACTGAATAAACTACAAAGAACAGCGCCCTTGATTTGGCAAGCTCGTCAACCCTGCAGTTTCCGGAGATGTCCACAGGGACACAGGTGCATGTACCCATATGATTTGGAAATTAACATTACTAAACTAACAGAACAAAAATAACACCGATATTTACTATTTTCGCTCTCACAAAACAACTAAAAAGGTGATCAACAACAAAGATAATGAAAGAGAAGCAAAACATGTTAAACGGTACATCTAATTTAGATTTGGTTAATATCTATGAATATAAAATAAATTTGGATATGAATTTAAGCACAATGCATATTTCTATCTGCATTTAGCAACAAGACTTTACCTAGCCTAATTATTATCTGCTTTAATATTAAAGATTTTAAAATCTGGTTCATACTAAGATTTAAAACAGCAAATAAAGTAGAACGTAATTCTAAAACCGACATATGACAAATGGATTTCGTTGGCCACGTATTAAATAAAATTTAATTTTATTTATAATTTTATTTTATTTATAATTTTATTTTATTCAATTTAGTTTAAATTTTATTAATCACAAATAGACTTCATGAATTTTACTCATATGGTGTACATACCATACAATTTATAGTATACTATAACATTTATGACCTCATACGAATTCTCAATCCGGGTTCCTCTAAAAATTTTAATGCTATTTGATTTGTGAACCTGATGTTTTCGAATTTAAAATCAGTTTCAAATTTAAAGTTCCGAATAAGTCCACTTAATATGATTTTCATTGAGAACATTGCATATCGTAATCCTGTAAACAACACATAATAAACTAATCTACATGTACATTTCACATAGCTTTATCAGGGCTTACCTATGCAGTTCCTACTACCTTTTGAGAATGGAATAAAAGCACATTTCTGAACTTTTCCGAAGTTCTCAGCTGAAAAATGTTCTGGATCAAACTTATTTGCATTTGGACCCCAAATATCTGTGCGTCGATGAAGATGCAGTATTGAGATTAGAATTTGTGTATTTTTGGGAAATACATCTTTGCCAACTTGTGTATCTTTTGTAACATGTCGTCCGATTATTGAAACAGAGGGAGCAAGGCGAAGTGTTTCATTTATTACACAATCCAAATATTGTAACTGATCTAACTGATCAAGCTCAGCATTAAAGTTTTTCTCAGGAAATACGTCTAAAACTTCCTCAAAAAGTCGCTGCTGGATTTCCGGGTGCATGGCTAACATAACAAGAGCAGAATAAATGGCACTAGCTGTAGTCTCAAATGCCTACAATCAATGAAGAATTGTAAATATATTAAGTATAAATAATTTACGCGTACTCACTGCTCCAACAATTGTATTTGATTCACTTATTATATCATTCCATGTGAATAGTTGCTGTTTGTATAGTTTTATTGCTTGATCAATAAATATTTTTGGCTCTTTTTTTATAGAATGGTCTGCAAGATCATTTTCATTATTAGTGAATTCATTTTCTTCGTTTGTAAGCAAGAAATCCTCATTACTGGACATGTCATCTTTTGTATTTGTAATACTCTTTTCTGCATTAGCAGTTTTAGAAAGTTTTTCGTGAATCAACTGTAACATTTTAAGCAAGTTTTATCTTTTCTGTGAAGGAATTAGAATAAATACTAACATCTTCGACGAACTGGTATGAAAATTTTTTAGCGTTTCTAAATTTCGAAAACAACTCCATTATGAAATCGAGTTTCATCAACGAAAGTAATACACTAATTGTTGTATATTCCATTATGCTGTTCATATGAGATTAATTATTTATTTATTTATTATTAATTTATTTCCATAAAAATACAATATATGTCTAGTTAAATAACTTACATACAAATGTTATTGGCTAAATCATTAGAAATCTGGTTACCTTTGTGCATGTACTT